TCTTTCCTGCCTATGCAGGGGGTCGGACTCGATGATCTATTGAGGTCCCTTCTGACCCTAGCATCTATGAATCTATGAATCTGCACACTTGTGATTTCTACCAGGAAAATGGTGATTCCCAAAAGAAACTGAACATCTGTACCCAAATAGAATCTCTGGCCTAAATATAATTTCTGCTTGATCAAGGTCATCCCTAAGCTGAACCATGCATTTTAGCATTCCTGTACACACGCGGTTTTTGAAAATAACAACAAAACTATTGGCATTAAAATAACGCTGAAGTTTCAAAGTCCTTTTCACTTGCTATAATAACTTTAAGCTAAACCCTTTCAACACTTACCTGTGTAGCTCCTTCTCTTGTCGCTGAAGCTCAGATGCAAGCAAAGTATTCTCTTTCTTTAGAGTAAGGCATTCAGATTCTAGAGCATTCCACTCCTTTCTCAACTTTTCAAGTTCACCTACAAAAAAAAAAAAAGGGGGGCAAGGTTAAGTCACAGAGGAAAACAAACAAACAAACCAACAAAAGCTTTCAAAGAGACCCTAACAAGTAAATGAAAGAACTATTTGAAAATATCTGTAAACTGTGACTTGTCAGGCTGTTTATTATTACCATAATTATCACATATACACACACCTTCTCCACAAATCAGCCCCCACCAAAATTGGGGAGCACGTCTTAAATGGGAAAGCTGATTTTCTGCCCAGGACAGAAACACTCTACTTTGATTCCTACTCCACAGTGTTACAGTTGTGGCATTACTATTCCAGGCAGCCAAGGAAGTCAGCTAACATAATGGCTCACTGTTCTTCACTCCACAGGTGTTAAACATTGTCTCTTCTTTTTAATGGTCTTGATGTTACACTACTCAAACTACTTTTCTTAGGGCAATTTTTGTTTGTTAGATGTCCCTGGCCTTTCTCCTCCTACTTCACAGTCATACAGACCGTAGCTCTTTTTAGAATCATAAATTCACCCATGAAGGCCAGTCTTCAGGAGCAGTTAGGGTTTCACCTTTAGTTCAACAGGAAAGGGAGGGTGCATCTTATGAAAACTAAGCTCTGTGTCTGACCTACGCAGCTAAAAATTCAGAAAAATCTTTCTTTGTTCTGCCTTTCAAAACTGCAGGTGTGCTGTATATTATAGTGCAAACTTTGCTATATGTGAGAAAATGCAGTATGTCACGTTAATTTCTGGCATAAAACTAGTAGGCAGCATGTCTCAAATTATGTGCCAATACTATGAATATCCTGAGATGTTTGTTTAAATAAGTTAATGCAATTTTTTTTGGAAGAAGAAAAGAACTTGGTGTTGGCTACGGGGGGATGACCTGATAGGGAAGCTGCAGAGTACTGAAGGAGAGTACTGAAGGAATTGGCCGGTGTCCAGACTGGAAAAGGGCCAATGTGGTCCCTATTTTCAAGAAGGGGAGGAAGGAGGATCTGAGTAATTATAGGCCAGTCAGTCTCACCTCCATCCTTGGAAAGGTATTTGAAAAGATTCTGAAGGATCGTATTTGTGGGAGTCCAGCAGGAAAAATAATGCAGCAGAGAAACCAGCATAGATTCGTAGCAGGCAGATCATGCCTGACCAATCTGGTTTCGTTTTATGACCAAGTCACAAAATTCTTAGACACAGGAGCAGAGGTGGATGTCATTTACTTGGATTTTAGGAGGGCCTTCGATACAATATCTCATTCCATTCTCATAAAGAAATGAAGAGGCTGTAACTTAGATGATTACACAGTCTCGTGGGTGGCAAATTGGCATGAGGGTTGCACCCAGAGAGTGGTAGTAGATGTGTTGGTATCAACCGGGAAGAATGTGAGCAGTGGGGGTCCCACAGGGCTCGGTCCTTGGACCTGTACTCTTCAATGTCTTCATCAGTGACTTGGCTGTGGGCATGAAATGTACTCTGTCCAAATTTGAGGATGATACTAAATTGTGGGGTGAAGTGAACACACCAGCGGGTAGGGAACAATTGCAGGTGGACCTGGACAGGTTGGAAAAAAGTGGGCAGTACACAACAGGATGCAGTTCAACAAGGACAAGTGCAGAGTGCTGCACCTAGGGTATAAAAATATCCAGCACACCTACCAGCTGGGGAATGACCCCGTCAGCAGCACAGAAGCAGAAAGGGATCTTGAAGTCATAGTGGATTCCAAGATGAACATGAATCTTCAGTGTGACAAAATCATCAGCAAAGCTAACTGTACTTTATCATGCATTAGCAGATGCATGACAAATAGATCCAAGGAGGTGATACTTCCCCTCTGTGCAGTATTGGTCAGACTGCAGTTAGAGTACTGTGCCTAGTTTTGGGTGTTGTACTTTAAGAAGGATGTGGATAACCTCAAGAGGGTCCAGAGGAGGGCCCCTCATATGGTTAAGGGTTTGCAGGCCAAACCCTATGAGGAGAGACCAAAGGACCTGGATCTCTTCTTTGTCCACAAGAGAAGGCTGAGAGGTGATCTTGTGGCCACCTACAAAACCATTGGGGGGGCGTGCAGCAAGGAACCAGAAGTGCTCTGTTCACCAGCATGCCTCTTGGGGTAACAAGGAACAATGGTCACAAATTGACAGACAGCAGATTTAGGCTGGACATCAGGAAGAACTTCTTCACGGTAAGGGTGGCCAGAATTTGGAATGGGCTTCCAAGGGAGGAAGTGCTCTCCCCTACCTTGGGGGTCTTTAACAGAAGGCTGGATAGTCATCTGGATGGGGTCATCTATCCCCAGCACTCTTT